TGCAAGCTTCATGTGTTATGCTTTTTTCTGATCAAAAAAAAAAATTTTTTTTTTTGGGGGGGGGGGACCATTAACAATGCATGCTATAAGAAAAAATGAGATTATACTTGTAAAAGATAATAATTATAATAAGAAAGTAAGCAAAGATAAAAGTTATTCAACGTTTAATAATCTCGACATAAACAGAAATACTTCAGTCGATGCAAGGCTTATTTCAAATGCCTTAAAACTACTTGGTATAGTATTATGTACCTCAAAAAGGTTCAAAAGCTTCACATAATAATTTTTGCATTAACAATTTATTTATATTTAAAATAGGTTAGAAATTTCTCAAAAGTTAAATAAATTCAAAATTAAATAAATTAATTAAATACATATTTTAATTTATGATAGGAAGTATTAACAACAATGCCAACGTTACTCAAAAATATCTATCTTTTAATTAAATAAATTCGATGATATCATCGAATTGAATGAAAATATGTGTAGAAATCGTAATTCTGTTAAAAATTGGAACACTATTTCGAAACTAAAACTATTAACAAACTCTTCATTTTTTTTTTCAATTTATCTAACCTTAAACTAAAAGTTAATGATACTATTGAATCGTATTGATTATTTTCTATCCAAACCAGTTTTTTTAATGTAGTTGAATGAACTTTTTAATTACAAAATTTGATGAGACACATATGTCACTTTATGTTTAACAGGAAACGCCTTGGTAAGGATTTAGTTCAAGATTAAGTCTGGAACACGCTTTACGTCATCATTAGCCCTATTTATACAATTGAAAAATATGTTAAACATGACATAATGTCGGAAAAATTTATAAATTATAACCGAAATGAAATATTTTCGAGAAATATTCATTAACTGAAATTGATTTTATAATTTAATATTGTGTTTTTTAAAAATTAAGTTTAAAGTAATTGTCTCAAAAGTTTAAGAGCACTTTATGAAATTCTTAGCAAATGTGGGACAGGTGGACTATTTCTAATTAAACTTCGGCACTCACAATGCAACTCTTCTTTTTTTTTAAAAAGAAAAAAAAAATATTATTAATGCATAATTTCTGCTTCCAGTCTTACATATGTGCAATTAAATAGTTTCAAAGAACTTGCGCATGGATTAAAATAATTTAAATTTTCTTCCTCGGATCATTATTTGATTTTACTCTTTTGATCATTTTTTTATAAAATACTAAACTTGTTTTGATTTTATAACTTTTTTGGTTTGCTTCTTCTTTGTATCAGTCATAGTTCTTGCATCAGTCATACACTAGTAATCTTCCCTTTTTTTTCTTCGGATTCTTTTGTTCTTGTGTTAGAGATAGTTTATAACTTAAGGCCTTACCAGCGATTCCAACTTGCTCCGGACAGCGAATAAATATTATCGAGTGGTAGTTTATTAATTGTGATTCTTTGTTTAATAAATTCAATTTATTAGATTCTTATCTACCACTGTTTCTAATAATTCTTAGGCTTATATATTCACTACTTTATCATGGTAAACCTGTTACAGAGTAAGCAAAATTAGTCAAACATTTGCAAATTTTAATTTGTAGTTATTTACCGTTTTTAAAATTATTTTGGCGTGTCCGGAGCAGTTGGCATCTCTGCCTTACTGATCTTTCCCATTTTTCTTTCTTTCTTTTCTAGTACCACACATAGTTTATAGCTGATAGCATGCATATATACATATATATATACATATATATATACATATATATATATACATATATATATATATATATATATATATATATACATATATATATATATATATATATATATATAT